CTAATGAATAGAAGTATTAATGCAAATCATAAATCGATTGTACATTTTGAAATGTTATTTGTAAAATGTGGAATAGGTAAAACGCCGAAAGCAATTTCTTTCCCAACTGATGTTTCAGTTATTATATAGATGGTAGATATTGTCAGCTAAGATTCAAGCTAGCTGTCGTGGTCAGGAAGACATCTTCAGTTGTAAGGTGCGAGTCAAATGTCACAGTAAAGTAAATTTATCGAAGGCAACTACTGCGAATTGCTTTGCATGCATGTGTTCAAATATCATAGTGTTTGTACGTAAATGCACAAAACATACCACATTAAATTTCGCTTCATCAGTCACTGCATTACCAGGAACCTCTGGTGTCTGAGAAAGAAGCAATAATTATAATTAGGTTAAGGTGTTCAAACGTAAGGCAAAGACATCATGAATATGCAATCGTAAGTGCAATGTCAGTGATAAACAAGCGGAATGCGGAATCACTAGGTACAACGCAAGATAAAGCGCAAGCAAACAACATGAGCATAAGGAAAAGAACGTAACGTTGTGATATTCTTATGTTTATGTTGCGTCGCAGTGAGGACCAGGGTTAAGAAACTTGCGCGCAGTGTTTGGTAGATTCGAACTCTAATTCTGAGAATAGGTGCAAAACACTTACCAAAGTTGATTTGGCAATTTGTTCATAGTTCCTAGAAAAATAAAATGTATGGACTATATGTTCAGATTTGGCTTCCATTAACTCTACCTCTCACTGGCTAAGTAAACATCTGATTGCTCAATCAGATACATTAAATGCATCTGATTCACAGATTTCCGCAGCGGCTGTTTCAAAATCATGATCATCGCCGGCTACTTTTGTATATTAAATCAATGTAATAATACATTAATACAAAAAAACAAATACTGTGTACGGAGTCACTTCGCACCGTTTCATTTTCTCTTGAAAGCATAGTGCATAAATGAACTTGAATATGAAGAAATTAGCTACTGTACGTTTCTGTGTTAATTTATTGCCTGCTAGATACTGTAAGGTCATTTTCTGTTTTAAATCTGTATTATTTACTGAACAACGCTAACTATAGTTATATATACGTCTGTCCACTATATCCTGAATATATTGAAGACGATGACTGCTGAAGAACCAGAAATGTTTATTCATGGGACTTCAAGAAATTTGATTAACTTGCTTTTAACTTGTGTGCAAAAATGAGATGCAAAATTATCCACATCTTATCCTTGTCGAATTTCAATTTTTTTTAAATTTATTATAATCAGTTATTAAATGAAAAGTTTGGTTCTCTCAAAAGATAGGAATTATAGTTTAACGTTGTCCCACAGTTCAAAGCTTCAAAAATTTTTCGGAGTAAGCAAATTCCAGAAAATGCTGCCACTACCAAATTTCTATAATACCTCCTTGTTCAGCCACCTAATTCTAAAACGAGCTGATACTTTTAAAAGTAATGAAACCCATGCTGATAGGAAGGCAAATCTGAACTTCTCCATATAGTATGGCAACCATAACCATACAACCAAAAAAGTGTAAACTAGCTTATTTTTTAGTTAAGTCTGTCGAATAGTAAAAGCTGCAAGGGTCCACTACACCCGAGTTATTAATGGACGCGATGAATTGTTTTGTTTTTCAGGGACCGGTTTCAGGGAACTAGCGCTAACCCACGGTTACAATCTCGTTCCCAGAGTATGCCTGTTCGCGGGTTATCTCGGTTACAATCTCGTTCCCAGAGTATGCCTGTTCGCGGGTTATGTAGTGTCATGCTACTACATAACCCGCGAACAGGCATACTCTGGGAACGAGATTGTCTCGGTTAAAGTTTAATATGATGTTTTAGTTATGTATTTCTGCACGTCTGTTTACTTCAAAACATGCGAGAAGAAAAAACTCCTATATACTGATCCAGGCACGATTTCTAAAGAAATATTTCCAAATTTATAAACAAGCCGTTAGGAAGTTTGCTTTGAATTTTAGGTTAACCTAGGCAGCTAACCCAACTTTAAACAACCGGCCCCAGTTGTGCCATTCACAAAGTTTGCTTACGCTTTCATAATTTGTAGTGCCAAAACCTCTTTCTTCAAACTATCGATCTCTTGTTCTTGCTGATCTTTTTCCTCCAGTATAGACCTCAAGTGATCAATGGCTAAAGAAAAGTGAACAGCGTGTTACAGAAAATGAAAATAAATTTAAAAACGCATGTATACCAGTATACTGAATATGCATGCATACCAGTACTGAATTAATACTGCTTACATAATTAACCAGTATACTGAGTATGCATGCATACCAGTACTGAATTAATACTGGTTACATAATTAAAAATGCGCCACAGTGGTTAGTTTAAACGCGTTCGAAACTATCTTTGCATTTCCAAAACTATTTTTTCGGCAAAAACAGCCTTAGCTATCTACTAAATATTGCTGTCGCCAGAAAATGTTCATTCAAAATAGACGAATTATGCACTGATAAAAATACCGCTTCCGTAAAATCGAATAATTTCTTCAATACATACGATAATATCTCACGATTTCTAAAACACTTTGGAAAAATGATGAAATGTGCAAACATTAACTTTTATTCGCATTCGATACTTTCAAATGCTTCTATATCATGAATATCCCCAAAACTACAGAGAATAAACGTCCAAAGTATCAGAAATCTGATACTTTCAAATGTTTTTACAGCTTAAATATACCTCAAACTGCACCGAATAGACGTCCAAAGTACCAAAAGTTCGGCTTTTATCCCTACGACCGGGGCCTAATTCCTCCAAAATGCAATTGCATGCCGTCCTGCAATTAAGATCCCTGAGGAACTACGCCTTTTTTTGTTACACAGTTCACTGAGACAGGTTACTGAAGATATTACTCCATGAAGCACATACCGGATTTGCCAACATCCCGAATAGACTACTAATAACATTTTAATACAGTAAAACCATAAAAGAAGCTGCAGTGGTTCTCATGCATATTATTAATAGGCACTTGGTGAGAAATCAGGCCGAGTTGGTTCTTAACAAGTTCTTATTTCTAGTCAAAAACAATTGTTCCTGGCTTACTGTTTTAAATTATTTGTTTCCTTAATTATTGAACACTTTTGACAGTTTTCCCCTCTAACAATTGCTATTTATTAAAAGAATCCGAATTTGATCAAATGGGAAAAACAGATTACGTTTTTGCATTTGCAGTTGTTTTAAATGAAGTTGCATTCTAAAGGTTTTGTATAAGAACCAGTCTCATTTGTCAAGTGCTCGCTTAATTACTTGCCCAAATTTCAGGCTGGTTCTTTGATGCAGGTTTTTACTGTATCTCTCATTCGCTGTCGATACTTTCATGCAGAAACGAATCTAAATCCTTGACTTACTTTTCTGCAAAACAACAGCTTTGCTTAGTTTAGGGCTAACAGCCGAGTCCTCGCCACGACAAGATGGAACAATACTTTGAAGATCATCGTAGCCTTTCTGAAAAAATAGCATAATAATATCTATATTACGCGATTTCTAAAATAAGATTAAATAAACTTATATGATATGGCCTGTATACAAGTCCCAAAATCTTGAACAAACTGGTAAATACATTTTGTTTTCCTACTAATTTATTCCAATGGACCTGGCAGATTCTGCCAAAATTTCGGCAATAGGGCGAGCCCACTTCCTCATATTTGCACATTTTTATTGGAAAATAATTACGAGACGGGACGGTACAACAAGAAAATGGGAGTGCTCGGTATGTTGGATCAGTAGACCCTTCCGGAAAGTCCTTAGCCTTGGCTATAGAGCCTCATTTCGGGACATAGAGAGGGGAGATATCGACTTTAAACCTGGTTTCCATATGGTCGTAACGGTCGTAAAGATTGAGTCACGATCTTTCTCATCAGCTAGTGAAGGTAAAATTCAACGACTTTTCCAGGATTTTCAAGGCCCTTTTACAGTAAATTCAAGGGCCTAGAACTGGGAAAAATATTTGAAAATGGCACGGATTTGCCGTATATACAATTCACTTTATTCGGTAATTTTTATCAAAATCACTAATGTTGGCACAGCTGGAGGTTAAGGAAATTAATTCCAAGACTTTCAAGGACTTCTACTGATTTTCAAGGACTTTCCAGTCCTGGAGAGTTTTTTCCAATTCAAGGAATTTCCATGCAGGATTTTCAAGGCCCGTAGACACACTGGTAACTTGAATTTGTATATACTGTATATTAATAATATACTGTACTTAAGGAGACAACGTATGTCGTATGTATAGAACTTTGTGTCCCGTTACTACAGTGCACAACATGGTATAGCCCTTTGTGCTTGTATTTATCCGTCATTAAAATCAGCAATATTGCAAATGAATAATATTTTCTGTTTCGTCTTATTACCCCACAAGCTGGGACAGCATTATATTACTCTTTTAAAACCAGACGGTTAACGTGGTTACAGGTCTTAGGACTCTTACTCATTCATGCGTTAAACAGACTGCGATATTTTCCAAAGTTTGTCGCTTGTTGAGATATATCGGACGACTGACAAGATAGCTTTAAATTACCACGTCAGCAATGTTTACTACTTTGAACGACACAATTTATTATGTACATGATATTATTTTAAAATGATATTCACCTTAATGGCATCTCTTCGCTTTTGTTCAGCAACTGTGTGAGCAGTTCGTCTTTTATCGTCTTGGACACATTTCTTACCATCTTCAACATCTATATCTACGAAATTTAATAAACATTGAAAAAAATTCACAGTTACAGTAGTAACTACAATAATCATGGAAATTAATTCGTATTATTGAAACATTTTCTCCCTTCCCCTTTATAATGTTGGCTTGTGGTCCAGTAATCATGGTTTAAACCTACATTGTACTAGGGGAGAGGGGGTTGTTACTTGTTACTGTTTCTAGCGATCATTGCATGACGTTTGTATTAACTAAAAATACCATGTTTGATTTAAATTTATCATTAAAATTCCATGAATTATTCGTATAGTGATTATGTAGAAAAGGAGGCAGGGAGTACGATAAACATTAATCGTATTATGTTGCTGAGAGTCAAGAAACAACCCCTGGATGTATATCAATCCAAATGTACTTTGTTTTTTTCATACAATATACGGTAGTGGGTCTCTTTGGTCCGCATGCAATGGTGTCGCCCGTTGGTCAATCTGGAGAGTGTGTTTTTCACACCATACCTATAGATTTTATTTTTAAATGGAGCTAGACTATGTCACATTCTCGTACCCAGAGCACGTCTTACACACGGTCAACAGAGCATGACAAGGGTCGCGGGGTACGAGAATGGGTTGCGCCGCAACTGCATATCAAAATTTAGCCTCTGAACGAGAACAAAATGCCAAGTGTGCCAATGTCATGTTTATGCGCGTACTCTGGGTATTTTAGTCTTCACAAGTGCATGTGTTATTTATTTAATTTTAATACAGAATATAGAAGTGCATTCTGAGAGTGCATTCTTGCAGTTATTGAGTTATTCCAGTTAGTCAGTAACTCGGGGCTTAGATAACAAGCTCCAAATGATTTTTGGAGTTAAGGCTAATTTCCACTCCGGAAAATAAGCAGCGGATCGGACCGGATTGGAACAAAACAAAATCCGCGCATGTGCAATCAGTAGAAATTTTTGGTTCCGATTGATCCAACGACGTTGCTGGCCGGATAATAAAAGTTGAAATATTTTACTTTTTTTGGCCCGGTCCCGCGGATTAAACCTGCCGACCAATCAAAATGCCGTATTATCTCACATAAATTAAAATAATTAAATAATACCTGTATAAAATTTACAAAATGGAGAATGTGAGACTGGAACGAGCTCCATTGTTTCCCTTTTCCGATCCGATCATTCCACTTGTCCTTTTACTGGAAATCGCTTGTTGGATTGGATCGGAAAACCTCTGATCCAGTCCGATTCGCTGCTTATTTTATGGAGTGCAAATTAGCCTTTAGCCAGTAACTCCAGGCTTAGATACCTAGCTTTTAAATGATTTTTGATTTTTGGAGTTATACCTAGCTTTTAAATGATTTCATCTCATGCAGTTAGTTTTGAATTACACAAATTACTCAAGTGTAGGTAGGAGGTAGTGTCGCTCCATAACATCCTACTTTCTACAGGCATGTTTCACACTGCATGGTATCAGACTGTTAGACCAACTGTACACGGAGAAACATCAAGATTTTCAGCTTGCTTACATCATACCCTATAGGAAATATTTTCATTTCCACAACACGTTTGCATGCACATCAAAAGAGCAGACTGAGCAGTGCACAATACATTCTTCCGGAAAGTACTTCACTTTGACTGTATAGAGCCTCGTTTGCATACATGCATACATACATTATTATTCAGCTGAATCAGCTCACTCCCCACGCATTGGGGCTTTTCAGTGACCGATTACATCAAGTATTACGCTCATGTTGCTTACTTGCTGTAAGTCCCAGACTATTTATCTTTACAACAATTGAGATATTACGTTGCTATAGGATTGGTATACCAACTGTGTTTATCCTAACCCACACTGTTAACTTTCCCTGTGGGAGGAAACCGGAGCACCTGGAGAAAACCAGCGACTTTCGGCAGAGCGTTGACTGACTCTTTTCACATGAGTCCAGGGGCGTGGCGACTGGGGGGGGGGTGCGACGCCCCCCCCCCCCAATAATTCTGAACTTTGAAAAGTTGGTCAAAATGTTTTTGTTGGTCAAAGGAATTATTTAAATATTAAAGGAATATTATATCATTTACAAAAATTTTAGAAAATCCAAAAAAATCTCAGAATTTTAGAAAAATTTCTTTGATAAACGGAGAAAATTTGTGATATCTGAAACATTTTTTATGTCGCGAAAAATTTGGATATGTCCGGAAAAATTTTTCAAGGACGAAAAAGTTGGTCATTTTCATTGAAACAGCTGGTCATTATGGTATGAAGCCCCCCCCAATCTGGAATCGTTCGCCACGCCCCTGCATGACTCCGTAGCAAGAATCGAACCCATGATATCAGAGATGAATTTAATGAAAGGCGCTTGCTCTGACGACTGAGCCCCCGAAGCCTCCGTACATTTTCCTGTACGCGACATTATAGTTCAAATATAACGTGTCAATCACAAACCGAGGCTCTATAGACAAAATGACGTACTTTCCGCAGTTTGAAAAGTTGCCCGAAATGCAGTATAACATTGCTCAACATGTGAAACTGAGCCTTTTATACTATAGCCGTGTTTAATACTATAGCCAAATTCAATAGCCGCGTTTAGACCCCAGGAGGCTGGGACTCAGGAACAGTCCGTTGTTTGAAGGCTTATATGCTCACAACTATTGCATTAGACTACTTCAAAACTGCCTTATACCTTAATTATCAACCTCAAAATCCTCGGACATGGAAGTCTATCTGCTTAAAGTGTAACACTGCTCGTAGTCTTGCTGCTTCACTCTCTTGCTGCTATTAGTGTCTCATAGTTATTGAAATATAAACATGATTAGGAAGGTTGTAAGTCTTAATTTTATGTTCTGTCTAAATTTGCATAGATTTGTGTCAATTTGTGCACGTCCAGGTTCTTTACTGTTTTGATCTATTTTTCGAAGTTGTCAGATCTTCCTACCCTTGTTTATTAAGTTTCAATAGCTATTTTATATTCTATGAATTGTTATATGTTTTATAAAATTTGCAAGCAGCTAATTAAGTATGTTTGTGAAATACAATACAACGAAAACTTCGAGGAATTTGTTTGCTTGGCTTCAAGTTCCAATTCGTGTGATGACTTTGATCAGGTAAATCGAAGTTTTCGTTGTATTTTATTTGTGTTTTATTATCTATTTAAAATTTAAAGGGCCCACAGTAATTGGTAACATATACTGTTGTGGTGACCCTGCCATGAATGCATGCATGATAATGGCGAAGTTAAATAAACTAATTAAATAAAAAAAGCTTTTGAACTTATTAACTAACTTTTTACGCTCTTTTCAAATCCATAAAGGTCCCACAAGTGATATTGGCACTTAAATTAATAACTAAATAAATACAGAAATTAATAACTGCATTTCGGAATGAAGAAAATTTTTTACACCATACGTATGTTCTACCATGGATAATAAAACAAATGGATAGGAAACTAGCTGACGTGACCTAATGTTTTTAATGGGCTGATGGCGTGGTTGGATGCCTCAACCTAGTTGAAAACCAAATTCTCAAAAACGGCATGTTTAGCAATAATACAGCTAAACATTTTAGTCAAAGAGCAAATTTATTTATTTATTTATTTAGCTTTGCCAACTAGGACAGGGTCACCACAACAGCATATGCCAATTACTGTGGGCCCTTTTTACCTAACCCACCCTGTCAACTTTCCCTGTGGGAGGAAACCGGAGTACCCGGGGAAAACCCTTTCTACTTTTTACTCTTTTCACATGGGGACTGGGTTCGAGTCGCACTGAGAAGGTACTTAGTGAGACTCGAACCTGCAGCCTCAGAGGTGAAAGGCAAGTGGCCACCGTTGCCCCTTAAACCTTTGCCCCAACCACTTGGCCACCGTTGCCCCTTAAAAAAAAATATATATATAAATATAACCACGCCATTCTACGATGAAAACTTTAAGTATTCCCAGTCAATGTTACCAAATATTTCAAACACTATAAACAGTGAAAAATACATCACAAATTTCGTTAAAATTTGTGACGCCAATTTCATAGCTACAAGTGTAAAAAAATACAAAACAAAGACGAAAAACATTTACCTTGAATACTTTGTCGTGGCTTAGGCATGTTTTTAAAACAATTGACCAGTTTATGCTTCAATATCACCCTTTTAAAGTGGAAAATATAGCAAAACAACAAAAATGCCGAGAACTTTGGTAATATTCGCAATACGCGTTTTTCAACAAGGTTGCGGCCAGTGACGTCAGAAGTTTCCTATCCAGTTATTTTACAATCCATGGTTCTACAGTGTATAATTCTCGTAGTTGTATTGTGAAATTACGTCATCATATCATGAAAGGGGTCTATTGTATACTGAATATTTTATATAAGTACTAAAACAGTATATTAAAAATTATATACAGCATATAGAAACCAAGCTGTGGCTATTCCTAAACAATGGTCTGTCACTGTCCATACCTGCATTACATGTTTCACTTTCAGGACTTGCTGGCTCTTCTTTAATATCCTCAGTTAAATCTTTAAAAAAATCAGAAGTTATCAGACTGTAATTATCAAAGTTGAAATCAGCACAAGTCACGCTAGATGTGGTACAGTACATGTGGTTGCCCATCTTTTTTCGTCAAATTTTTTTTAATGTTGCTTATGGCGCCCAAATGCACCAGACTCTACTTTATTATTTTACTCTATTACAGGCCTAACAAATATATTTCTCTTCCTGGCAGAAAAGTTCATAAATAAAAATTTCCTGTACGAGTCAAATGTAAAACTTCCTGAAATTCTGCCCAGCTTCAATCTCGGCACAAGACAATTCGACTTGCTCCATGTTTTTTTTAACTTTTTGAACGATACAGTAAGTATAAAATTATATGGCATTCCAGTATGAAAGATGACAAAACTTTCTACTAAGATGTAAGAAAATTTCCTATTAAACTACACTATTAAATTGGTTACTGTAACCAAACTATCTGCCAAATGAGTGTGTCTTATTAACCCGGCCCATTAAGCTGCAAATGTGCCAAAATCCACCAGCCTTTATTAATTTATTATGTCTACTGTAACGGTAATGCCAAACAATTTTACTTGTCAAGGGCGCACACCGCATTAATGGTTAAATAGCCCAATGCAAAATATGCAAATATTTAATGCCAATTGCTTTTTGGAAAAGAAATAAATTATGTTGTCAGTAGCACACCTTCAATAGCAGGTCTTCTTCCTCCTGGAGAACTATCCTAAAAAATACATTATTTTAATGTATTAGTCAAACAGCCGGGTCAAGTAGTTTGTGCCATACTGATTCCCTAATAAAAATGCCATTTTACAGCAAGAAATAATGTCCAATATACAGTATTAGTATAATTACATAGGTGATTATTGAAAATTCTCCACGCTGATTGGTTGCC